CTCTTGACTGCAGAGATGAGCTTTGAAACAAGAGCAGTGTTTAGTTGGGCAGGGCTTGTTGAGTCCCACTGCCTCTGAATCCCAGATGAAGATTTGATCTTCTGTGTTCCTTATTATGTTCTCTAAGTGAACATTTTCTCACTCATCAGTATGCAGGTCATACAGAACTGGACAGGTTTCAAGTGCACCTTGTCCTCTCTGCCCCCCCTCAAGATTTCACTTGTCCTGTGGGTCAGAGATCTTGTCAGCAGTTCAGATCAGGTAGACCCTACAGTTTTTCTATCCCTAATTTTTTCATGTAGCTGCAGGCAACTTGGCTGTGCTCTCCTTGTGACCAGTAGTCCTCGAGGATGATCTCCAGCTCAGTGATCAGGCTGGACAATTCTGGCTGTCCAGATTTTTGGTGAAGAAGAACATTAGACCTTGGGACAGGTCAGTTGTCCTGTTCCTCATGGTAGTGTCTGCCTGAAGTGCCCCACAGGTGTCCTTAGGGCAAACAGGTTCGTGGGCCACCACTAATTTGGGTTGATTTTCCTTCTCTTCTATGTCTTTGCTTCCTCTTGCCTTCCTCTCCCAAAACCAGAATGGAGCTCACAATACATCTGGTTTATCACAAATCACAGACGGCAGCATCATCTGCACAACTGGCTGTTGCTGTACAACCCCTGGCCACGTCAGTGCTGCTCTTTCAGGTCTCGTGCCACAGCCTGAAGCTGGGGTAGCCGTGGCACATCTGCGCCGCACTGCCGGGGCCGGGCCATGCGCAGGGAGCTGGCGGGAGCTCCCAGCTGGCAGCACGTCTTCACATCTCCTGCTCCAGCCTCGGGGACTGCAGGATGGGAGGAAGATCTGTTAGTGCTGGGCTTGCTTATTCATACCAAGGTTGCTTGTTGGTTATTAACATATTGGATTTCAAGTTCTTTCTGGAAAAGCAGGTTGTTCGCCCAAAGCTCCTTCAACGGCGTGCTTGTACTTATCCCTGTGGTTATTGCCTCTGCTGACACATTATTGTCAGCTAATCTTTAGCTTGAGAGCTAATTCTGGACTGGAGGTGGAAGAGTGTGGATATCACATGTGTTGCTGCCATAAAGGTGATGTGTCTTAATGAAAACCTCCATGCCCCTCCCCATGGCCAGTCCAGTTGGCAGCCCTGCTTAAGCACGACTCAAACAGCTTTTCCACTCAGAGTCCGTGGGACCTGTTGCTGTTCTTTATATTCAACATGGTATCTTGTGTACTCAGCATATTATTTCCTTCTTAAACCCTGCATCCATTGAGGGTGCAGCCTGAGGCTCGGTGGGACAGCATTCCCACACATGGCACTGGTGAGGCTGCCTCTATTCTGCAGCGCTGCCATTCCTCCCGCTGCCTCTACTTGTTGTTCAATTTGTACAGGCTAAGTTTTCCCATCACATACATCCTACAGTCCCATAAAATTTAAAAGACTTGCCTGGGCATAATTTGATTGTGTTTTGTTTATATAACCACACAAACAACTCATTCAAGATACTAGGAGAGCAAAAAGTCAAGCATAACAGGATTAGGAAGAGGCCAGAATTAAGCTGGTTTGTACAGTTGCCTTGTGCACATACACATTATGACCATCTTTAATTCCATGGTCATGTTTAAAAGCTCCCTGCTAGCACTTCACGTCCTTGCCAGGAAGATGAGGTGCTCTAATGCTTCCACTAAAAGCACTACTAGCTGGTTTGGTTATCCTTTTAACATAGGAATGATTTAGTCTGTTTGTTTTCTCTTGTTTTCTGAAATACCTGATTTATTTTGGTTGAGCTATTTCAAACCTCTTTAGACTGATGTAGGCACTCAAGATACAAAATGTCTAACCTTGTAGAAAATTTGGCAATATAATCCAATGAAAACAGGTCTAACAAGAGGCATTTTACCGGGGAGCGCTTCTGGTCCTGATGGTGAAGCATGTGACTGACAAATACGATTTATTTACTTACAGGAGAAAAATACAGGCTGGTGTTGGAGATTCAGAGTTCCCCTCATTCTTGAGAAGTGATAGACAAGTTCTGGAGTAAACCAAGAGCCAGAAGCTCATAACGTGACAAAGATGGATGGTACTGCGTATCAGCCTTCCTGCTGGGCTCAGATTGGCACTAAAACTTAAAAGGTTTGCGAGAGGTGTTCAGACACAGTGGTGACTCTAGGTTTGTCCCACTGTCAATGAAGAATGAGGAAAGTCCTGAAGCAGTTCAGGAATTCTGTTGTTCACAAGTACACTCCTAATTTAAGTGTATGTGACAGGTAGGTAGACTTACTTTTGCCTAAGCAAAGTGACTACATTATTTCCTATAGCAGCACCAGCTTTATTTGCAGAGGAGGGAGAGGGCATGAATCAGAGAAGATAAATTTTATATTCAAAGGTAGTCTGGCAAGTTCTTATGGCACTTAATAGCTGGCATACTCCCACTGCAAGGAAAGCAGAAAGCAAATTCAATCATTTACGTTACAAAAATCTCACTGCTCTTTATTATGTGCACAGATGGTGTCTCGGGAGCTTTGCTGCCAGTGCTCTGCATGCCTAATGCCAGGCAGGGAGCATTGCTTTTCCAGCCCAGGTGACAGTGGGAAAGCTCTTTTTTCATTTGCTGGAACCATGTGGATTTCCAAGCTCTCCCATTTTAACATTTTGTTTAAACCAACCTCCCAGCAAAAAGTCAAAATATTACTGCAGACCACACTTAGCAGAGATGAAGGCAGAGATACAAATGATAACAGATTATGCATCATGGAGGTGAAAAGCTATTGCAAACAGAGCAACAAATAGAAAGGTGTTTCAGGACATCTAATACAGTGGGAAATGGAGTTGCTTTGTCTTAAATGCTTCCACACATACGGAGACTTTTAAGGGTAAAATGTGGAATCAGCTAGATTTGTGGAAATTTTTCAACTCCAGGAATGGAATGATCTCACCAAATGCATTTTTTTTTTTTATAAAGGCTTCTTAAAGCAACAACACCTTCTGTAAGATCTGCATTTCTGCAGCTATTTATAAATAGCCCTAGACTGGCCTTTTCTAATAAGCACCATCTTTCTTGAGCTGACCACTTGTTGCTGTAGCAGTGTGCTGTGAGCTTGCTTTACTTCACTGGTAGCTGGGTTTGGGATAGTGTTCTTAGTAAAATTACAGGACTGTAGACAGGTCAGATCTGTTCAGCCTCTTTTTACAAGTGCCGCACTAAGACTACCATTTACTTTAAGCAATAAAACTCTCTGTAGGTTTATGCTTTCCCCCTCCGGCCTGAAGTTCTTCTAGCACTTAACAGCTATTGTGTTATGATATACAGCGCCACTAGGACACAGCAAAGCACTATCCCAGGTTCATAGGTAAGAGAAAAAAAGCCACAGAGGACCTGACTAACTTTTGAGATTCACAGTTCTCCTCTCAAAAATGCTTTGGGCCAGTAGAATTTAAATCCAAGGCCCTCCAGCTGACAGAATTTGGCATAGATCCTTCTGATTTCCTGCTGATAGAATAATTCCTGTCAGCTGAGACATTTGGGGATGGGGTTTTGTTGTGGTGGTTTTTTTGTTGTTTGTTTGGTTGGTTGTTTTTTTTAATAAAAACCCAGAGAAAATAAATACCATCATGTTGTAGTTGGTAGGCTTTGTCCTTGGCCTTACTTCTGTAGGTTGTGTGCTGCTCGATGGAAGTGTGCTGCAAAGGGGAAGCTGCACAGGGCCAGAAGTCCCAGGGTGTGTGGAGTAAGAGCAAGTACTTCAATTTCAATGCATGTATCTGGAAAGCCTTTATATTTAATATGTTGGAGCTTGTGGATGTCATGTGCATGACATCTATTGGACTATGGGCCAACTGAGATACTGACTGCAAAGGTTTTCAGGTAGAATTGCTTCTGTTGCAGAACATTTGAATATTGGACAACTGAAAACCAAAGGATTTCACCAAGCCATGGTGCCTCTGAGCTGCCTTCATCTCCTACAACTGGGTCAAAGAAAAAGTAAGTTCTATGGGAGCATAGCTTTAAAAAACAAACCTCAGGTTCTTGATTCACCAGGGCTTGTGCCTATACTTCCCATGGACTTCAACATGTTTAGTCATTCAGATTGCTCTGATAATCTAGACCTAACTGTCTCAAAGTTGAACATCCACAAAGGGAGACAGAACTTCCTGGGAATTTTGTCCTAGATTTTTGTTAATTTTCCCACTTTGTGTTTAAAGGGCCTTTGCTACAAACCTTTAAAGATTTCTCTGCTGATCTTAATTAATTGCTCCTATTAGACAGTTGCAGAGAACTTTATGGATCTACAATCCTTCTGTATTTAGTGCATTGTTGCTATAATCAGTGCTTTATTTTTGTCTTGGTCTTCCTTACTACTTTACTGTTGTTTGTGAATTCAAAGGCCAAAGTGAAGAGCAGTACTTGTTAGCCATGCTCAGATTGCCTTGATGCCCTGGAGAACCGAAAGGGATGCTCAGGGAATTGAGGGGTGGTCATTTGTCTTAGCATATAATTCTGCTGACTTCTGAAAGAAGTTTAACATTTCCAGCCTTTCACCTTCAATGATACCAGCAGAGCTGACCTGAGAGGCTGGCCCAAAGGAAGCTAATAAGATAGCTTGCCCTGTGAAGCTGGAGGAGTCGATAATAATGAATATTTAAGTGGTGGAATTTTCCACTGCCACCACTGAACTTTTTTTCTACTAATTACTGCCATTAATAAAGTCCTGCCAACTCCTGACTAATGAGGACTCAGCACCAACTTTGCTTAAACTATGGCCTTTTGTTTTCTTGGTTGTGCAATGTGTGTGACAATTGCCAGGTTGCTGAGCATGAAGGTTTTAGAGAGATAAATAGAATATGGAAACAGCCTTACAAGAATTCCATGCTGATGAAAATAGAAAATATTATTGAAAAGCATGCCTTTTGGACCTCAGATAAATTCTAGTTCTGCTTGTTTCCTATGAGATGTTCAGAGAGATGACTGGTGGTGTCTTCTGCTTTCTAGGATGACTCTTGACATTTGAAAGAAGAGTGTGGAAGAGCTGTCTGAATTTGCTCAGAAGTCCTGTCCTCTGCAGGAACAGGAATATCTGCTCCAGGGAGAAAGAAGTGAGAACACTTGATTCATTATGCCTACAGTGTTGGTGGCTCTCTGTCATATAATAATAGGAAATGGTAAAGAACTGGAGCTTTGTCACTGAGGGGAGCTGTTCTGGAGCTGGCCTGATCCACAATGGAGCAGCAGATCTTGGCACACCTTTTCTGAGGCAGGGAAATGCCAGGGCAGTGGAGAGACCTGCTAGGAGCCAGAAACTCTGTATCCTCCTTCCACCACGCTGAAGACAGTAGCTTAAAGGAAAGGAGTGAATGGAGGTAAGACCATGCTCAGGGTGGAAGTGGAACCCCCCTCTTTGTCTACCTTGCCTTCTCAGGTGCCTCTGTACAACAGGCGTGAGGCTCTGGATGTGGAAGGCCAGTCAATAGATGATGTGGATGATGGTCTGTCTACACCAGAGGTGTTGCCAAGGTCAGAAAGGCCCCCCCACCCCCCACCCCCGGTATCACAACCACCTCCATGAGGAAGAAAAGATGCATTATAGTTGGAGGTGACTCCCTTCTGAGGGGAACAGAGGGTCCAATATATTGGACAAACCCTCTTCTTAGGGAAGTCTACTGCCTCCCTGGGGCCTGGGTTAAGGACATCACTAGGCAACTTCCTAGCCTGGTACGGCCCTTGGACTATTACCCATTATTGCTGTTCCATGTGGGTAGTGATGAAGCTGAATGCATAGTCCAAGAGCAATGTAAAGAGACTTCAGGGCCTTGGAATGGTTGGTAAGGAATCTGGAACACGGGTTATTTTTTCCTCTCTCCTTCTAGTTGTGGGCAGTGACGTTGGAAGAAACAGGCAGGCTCAGTGTATTAATACATGGCTCTGTGGCTGGTGTCACTGCCCAGTTTTGGGCTTTTTGATAACAGGATGGCCTACACAGCACCAGGCTCACTGGCATCAGATGGGATTCACCTTTCTCAAAGGGGGAAGAGGGTCTTTACTCACAAAGGGCTCATTGGCAGAGCTTTAAACTAGACTTGAAGGGGGAGTGGGATAATATCAGGCTTGCCCATGACAAGCTGTGGGATGACATGCCAACATTAGAGGGATGTGGTGCTAGTGAGGGCCCTCAGCCTGTTGCTCTGAGACATGCTGGGTGCACGGCAACACACTGAAAGTCTTATGAAGATGAGCCAGGGGCTCCTGAGGTAATAGGAACCAGCAGGGAAAACCAGTAAAATACCTCAAAGGAACTAGGGGTTGTTCCTCTAAGAGGGTGAGAAGGCTGGCAGCCCAACTGAAGTGCTTCCACACCAACATATGCAGCATAGGCAACAGACAGGAGGAATTGGAAGCCACCATGATGCTAGAAAGCTACAACCTAGTTGCCATTACTGAAACATGGTGGAATGAATCCCATGACTGGAGTGTGGCTATTGATGGCTACAGGTTGTTCAGAAAGGACAGACGAGGAAGGAGGGGCAGAGGCGGTGTTGCCCTCTACATCAAGAAATGGACAGAGTGTGAAGAGCTGTCTGAAGAATAGCTACGAGCAGGTTGAAAGATTATGGCTAAGAATTAGAGAAGGAGACAACAAAGGGAACCCTGTGGTTGGTGTCTACTACAGACCGCCTGATCAAGCGGAGCCTATTGATGAAGGTTTCTGACTCCAGCTACCGGAGACATCATGCTCGCAGGCTCTTGTCCTGCTGGGGGACTTCAACCACACTGACATCTGCTGGAAAAGTGTCCTGGTTTTGGCTGGCATAGAGCTAATTTTTTCTTCTCCTTAGTAGCTAGAATAGTGCTGTGTTTTGGATTCATTGTGGGATTTTGTATGAGAAGAATGTTGATAATGCACTGATGTTTTCAGTTGTTGCTAAGAAATTAAGGACTTTTCAACTTCCCATGTCCTGCTAATGCACAGGTTCACAAGAAGCTGGGAGGGAGCACGGCTAGAACAACGGACCCAAATTGGCCAATGAAATATTCCATATCATATCATGTCATGCTCAGTATATAGATGAGGGTTGGCTGAGAAGCTACTCTCTCTCTTCTGGGATTGTGGTTTTGGGATTTTCTCTCCTTTGGGATCACTGTCCTGGAACAGGCTGGGCATCAGTCAGTGGTTGGTGAGCAATCATGTTGTACATTACTTGTTTGTATATTCTATTATTACTATCATTATTAGAATTGTTTTAATTTTATTTTATTTCAATTATTAAATGTTTTTTATCTTAACCTATGAGTCTCCATACCTCTACCCCTCCAATTCTCTCCCCCATCCCCTGGGGTGGGGGAGGGTGAGTGAGTGGTTGAGTGGTGTTTGGATGCTGGCTGGGTTTAAACCACAACAAAAAGTAGCACAGTGAGATCTAGGCAATTCAGGAGACTCCTGGGATGCATTGAGGAGAGCTTCTTAAGCCAGGTAACCAACAGTCCTACCAGAGGGGATGCAAAACTGGACCTTTTGATCACCAATGCAAATGAAGTAATCAGTGACGTCAAGAATTGGGGCAGCCTGGGATGCAGTGGTCATGCACTGGTAGAGTTCACAGTCCTGAGGCGTATGGGTCAGGAGAAGAGTAAATTCAGGGCCCTGAATTTTAGGAAAGCCTTCCAGCTCTTTAAGGAGTTATTCAACAGGACCTCCTAGGATACTGCCCTCAGGGACAAGGAAGAACAACAGTGCTGGCACATCTTTAAGGGCACTTTAAGGACACTAAAAGCTCTTGATACCCAGGAGTAAGAAATCAGGAAAGGAAGGCAAGAGACCGACATGGCTGAATCAGGACCTTCTGGTTGAGCTAAAGGGCAAGAAGGAAATGCACAGGCAGTGGAAGTGGGACAGGTATCCTGGGAAGAGTATAGGGACACTGCTCAGCTGTGTAGGGCTGGGGTCAGGAAGGCCAAGATGCGGTAGGACCTGAACTTGGCAAGGGATGCTTAGAATAATAAGGGCTTCAGTGGGTATGTTAGCCAGAAAAGGAAGGTCAAAGAAAGCATACCCCCCTGATGAGCAAGTCTGGCAAACTGATAACAACAGATGAGGAGAAGGCTGAGGCAATTAACAATTATTTTCCCTCAGTGTTCACTGGCAACTGCTTTTCCCACACGTTTTGAGTGGGTGAACCACAAGATAGGGACTGGGGGAGCAAAGTCTCTCCCACTGTAACAGAAGATCTTGTTTGTGACCACCTGAGGAACCTGAACGTACCTAAATCTATAGGACCTGAGGAGATGAATCCTGGAGTCCTGAGGGAATTGGCTGATGTAATTGCCAAGCCACTCTCCATGGTATTTGAAAAGTCATGGCAGTCAGGTGAAGTCCCTGGTGACTGGAAAAAGGGAAACATTGCACCCATTTTTAAAGAGGACCCTGGGGACTACTGACCTGTCAGTGTCACCTCTGTGCCTGGGAAGATCATGGAGCAGATCCTTCTAGAAGATATGGTAAGGACGTGAAGAGCGGGAAAGTGATTCAAGACAGACAGCATGGCTTCACCAAGGGCAAGTCCTGCCTGACCAACCTATTGGCCTTTTCTGATGGAGTGACTACATCAGTGGACAAGGGAAGAACTATGGATATTGCCTATCTAGACTTCTGTAAGGCCTCTGACATGGTCCCCTGCAACATCCCTCACTCTAAATGGGAGAGGTGTGGATTTGATGGATGGACTGTTCGATGGATGAGGAATTGGTTGGATGGTCACATCCAGAGGGTAGTGGTCAATGGCTCAATGTTCAGATGGAGGTCAGTGACAAGTAGTGTCCCTTGGGGCTTTAATGGTACCAGTACTATTTAATATCTTTGTCAAGGATGTAGACAGTGGGATCAAGTGTGCCCTCAGCAAGTTTGTAGACGACAACAAGCTGAGTGGTGCAGTTGACACACCTGAGGAATGGGATGCCATCCAGAGGGACCTGGACAAACTCAAGAAGTGGTCCCATGTGAACCTCATGAAGTTCAACAAGATCAAGTGCAAGGTTCTGCACATGGGTTGGGGCAACCACTGTTTTCAATACAGTCTGGGCAATGAGTGGATTGAGAGCTGCCTTGTGGAGAAGGACTTGGGGGTGCTGGTGGATGAAAAGCTGGACATGAGCTGACAATGCACGTTAGCAGCCCAGAAGGCCAATCATACCCTGGGCTGCACCGAGAGAAGTGTGGCCAGCAGGTCAAGGGAGGGGATTCTCCCTCTCTACTCCACTCTCTTGAAACCACCCCTGCAAGTGCTGTGTCCAGCTCTGGACCCCCAACATCAGAAGGGCATGGACCTGCTTGAGTGGGTCCAGAGGAGGCCACAAAAATGATCAGAAGGATTGAACACTTATCCTCTGAGGAAAGGCTGAGAGAGTTGGGGTTGTTCAGACAAAGAAGAGAAGGGTCCAGGGAGACCTTATTGCGGCCCTTCAATAGTTAAAGGGGGCTTATAAGAAAGATGGGGACAGACTTTTTAGTAGGACCTGTTGTGACAGGACAAGGGGTGATGGTTTTAAACTAAGAGGGTAGATTTAGACTAGATATAATGAAGAAATAAGGGTGGTGAAACAGTGGAACAGGTTGCCCAGGGCTCTGAGCAACCTGATCTACTCGAAGATGTCCCTGCTCATTACAAACAGTTGGACTAGATGATCTTTAAATGTCTCTTCCAAGCCAAACTATTCTATAATTATATGATATTTGCTTGTTTTAGTTTGACCTATCATATATATCAGTTTATGAAATGAAGTGCTTCCAGGAAGGAAAAAAAAATCTCCATTTGCTTCATTCAGAGTTCTTGATTGAAGCTCCCATTTCCTCTCACCTGAATGACTCTTTTCATCGTGTTTAAACAGAGGTGAAATTCCCACAGTGCATGCAAGAACTTAACCAGCCCCTAAAGACACCTTATCACAAAAGGTGCTTCATTGTTTGAAATTAGCTTAGTTGCAGCTTATCCATAAGTCTTATTGAAGAGGCAGCTTTTAGCTGTAGAACCACTATTTTTCTCATGCTGTTAGCTGGTGAGTAACATGCTACACAGAGTCAAATATCTCAGTACTTGACCCTGGTAAGGACAATGTTGTTCCATTTTGAGTGCTGGAGTGGGGATGAGGTGGGAATGCCTCCCATCTGAATTTTGTAGGGCTTCAGGGGAGTCTGTGCAGAACAGCTGAGAGCTGGAAATCAAATCCTTCACTCAGGAGCAGATCTGAATCCTCTAAGATTGTGGAATCATGGTCACTGTTGAGAAAAGTTGGGGGGTGTAACTGCAGAACTAAAAAGCCAGCCTGACTCTGAGAGATGAGGTTTGGGGTTGTGAATTTCAGTTGACAC